AAATTTTTGGACCATTTTGAAATCAATGTGAACCAATTTAAAATGGTGCCCAATTGCAACATCTTAAATTATTTAAATACATTGTTAGATTTAGCATATTAAGAACCCAAATAATGTATTTATTTTAGATTGTTCTTGTCCTAAACATGCATGAACTATTTGCCATTTGACATTAGCATTACCAACAACCAATCAATTAATCGAACAGGTGAAATATCTTCAAAAGTACCAATAAAAATCTCCCCCTTTTATATTTGAAAAAGTAAAATCACAAAAATACTGAACTCCGAGGAAAATTCAAAAAGGAAAGTCCCCAATCAAATGGCAAAATCAAAAGTTCAAACACATCAAACGAATGGATAACAACTGTCATATTCCTGACTTGGTACAGGCATTTTCTTATGTAGAAAATGGTGGATTGAACCTGGTTTTATAGCTAGATACATGTAATAAACCTCTCACTTGTATGACAGTCGCATCAAATTCCATTATATTGACAACGATGCGTGAACAAAACAAACAGACACAATAGGTAAAATTGTCAAAAATAGGGGTACAGCAGTCAACATTGTGTTATCATCTTAATCACTATAAAAACAAACAAATGTAACGAAGAAGCATAAAAAGGCATACATCAAATTTAACATCCTCATTTTGCTTATATTATACGATTTTATATATCTATGTAAAATCCACCCATAAAGGATGGAAGGTTTTAAGTACTGGCGTAAAATCGCGCGTTTGAAATTCGCACAGGTAGACATAAAATAATTTTGTCGTTCAAAGTATGACGGGATACATAAATACAGAGTCATGTAAAATGGATATCACAAAAAAGAGACTTAACAGTAAAAGTAATACGTTTAATAAATAAAATAATTGAAATGTAATGTATGAACAGTTCATTAGTCATTGTTAGTTATTGAATGGAAACTATAGGAGCCGCCCAATATAGTACTACAAATTAAAATTAGCAAAGTGATTTTTCAATGGGAAAACCAAGTTAACAAAGACCTGTTTAATAAAACTGATGTACAAATGTATAACATGTAATTGTATAATTATGTTATTATATAAGTGATTACATATACTTTGTATGATTACCATGTTATACAAACAGTTAAATTAATATATAAGTTAATAATAACTTACCAATATCTTCTTCTATACATGTATTTAGTTTGACCTGGCTATTGTCACTTTTACAAAAATTCATCTTAATTGAGCATTGCTTGCATATATATAGCCCTACAAATAAAAAGTGTTAAACTATAAAATAATTCTTCAATTTTGTTTTACATGAAATAAAATATATCAGACAGGAAATGTAGGGTAGTTTAGCATCACTGCGCATGTAGTTTAAATGTATGTTTTTTCTTTTAAAAAGGGCTCTATAAGTAATCTACATACATTTACATGTAGGGTCCTAAAATTGAACTTTACAAAAATTTGCAATGCTTTTGATTTTTTTAGTCTCCATGGCCTATTAGTTCATTAAAAAAATATTATTCTCTGGATAAAGTTGTCTAGTGTTACATGTACAGTATGTTGTATGTAAAACATGTATTTGTAGGAGGCTTTTCCACGAGATTAAAGTTTTTTTAGTAGACAAAGAGCTGAACAACTTCCAGTAAGAACTGAAAATATAACTTTAGGGGAAGAGAATAAAAACCTGACCTGCTAAATGTTGAATATGTTGAAATAGATTTTGATTATTATCATGATTCTGGTCTATAAATTGATTTTTTAAAGCAGAAAATAAATATATATTGTACCCTGGTTAATACATGTAGCTTGAAAATTAAAATTCTGTCCTAAGCTGACAAGGACATAAATATTTTGACCATTCTAACCCTCCCCTTGCTTTTTTAATCAAATGGTCCCAAGACAGAACAATGTATACACGGATATATATTATTTGCTTGCACTTTGCCATAGGAAATAAATAAGATGTCTTAGAAACAGGTCAGGTGTAAAAGAATATTCACATGCCCCTTCAACACCCCCCCCCCCCCCCCCCCCCCCTTTTTAGCTCACCTGGCCCAAAGGGCCAAGTGAGCTTTTCTCATCACTTGGCGTCCGTCGTCCGTCGTCGTCGTCGTTAACTTTTACAAAAATCTTCTCCTCTGAAACTCCTTGGCCAAATTAAACCAAACTTGGCCGAAATCATCATTGGGGTATCTTGTTTAAAAAATGTGTCCGGTGACCCGGCCAACCAACCAAGATGACCGCCATGGCTAAAAATAGAACATAGGGGTAAAATGTAGATTTTGGCTTATATCTCTGAAACCAAAGCATTTAGAGCAAATCAGACATGGGGTAAAATTGTTAATCAGGTCAAGATCTATCTGCCCTGAAATTTTCAGATGAATCGGACAACCCGTTGTTGGGTTGCTGCCCCTGAATTGGTTGTTTTAAGGAAATTTTGCCGTTTTTGGTTATTATCTTGAATATTATTATAGATAGAGATAAACTGTAAACAGCAATAATGTTCAGCAAAGTAAGATCTACAAATAAGTCAACATGACCAAAATGGTAAGTTGACCCCTTAAGGAGTTAGTGCCCTTTATAGTCAATTTTTAACCATTTTTCGTAAATTTTTGTAATCTTTTACAAAAATTTTCTCCTCTGAAACTACTAAGTCAAATTTAACCAAACTTGTCCACAATCATCATTAGGGTATCTAGTTTAAAAAATGTGTCCGATGACCCCACCCGCGAACTAAGATGGCCGACATGGCTAAAAAATAGTACATGGGGTAAAATGCAGTTTTTGGCTCATACATGTATCTCTGAAACCAAAGCATTTAGAGCAAATCTGACGAGGATAAAATTGTTCATTAGGTCAAGATCTATCTGCCCTGAAATTTTCAGACCAATCAGGCAACACGTTGTTGGGTTGCTGCCCCTGAATTGGTAATTTTAAGAAAATTTTGCAGCTTTTGGTTATTATCTTGAATATTATTATAGATAGAGATAAACTGTAAACAGCAATAATGTACAGCAAAGTAAGATCTACAAATAAGTCAACATGACCAAAATTGTCAATTGACCCCTTAAGGAGTTAGTGCCCTTTATAGTCAATTTTTTACAATTTTCATAAATTTTGTAAATTTTTGTAAATTTTTACAAAATATTTTCCACTGTAACTACTGGGCCAAGTTCATTATAGATAGAGATAATTGTAAGCAGCAAGAATGTTCAGTTAAGTAAGATCTACAAACACATCACCATCACCAAAACACAATTTTGTCATGAATCCATCTGTGTCCTTTGCTTAATATGCACATAGACCAAGGTGAGCGACACAGGCTCTTTAGAGCCTCTAGTTTTTAATCTAGCTACATGTAATGTATCAATTGTTGGTCCCCTAATTTCAGATTGACTATATGGAACAAATGAAAATTGATTGTAAGATTTGTACCTGTTCCTACTGGAATAACTCGTCCTGTATACAGCCTGTTTTGAAAGGGTGAAGATCCTTGGTCAGCTTTGGCTTTGCTGGAAGAGGGTTGGACAAGATGTTGACATCTTGCTTGACTATCATGTCATTGAATTTCATAAAAGTCCCTGTACTTCGAGCATATTCAAAGACAAGATGATGTAACAACCATGGGAAAATAAACCACTCCTTGTCTTATATAAAATAAGGAGTCCTGTTGGAAATTCTACACCATAGTTTTCAGTATTATTCAGACTTCCTAAATGTAGATGAATTGTAGTCTGTATCTGTATGAATATGTTTGGTTACCAATGCTGGTTTCAATACCACTGTAGAGAGAGTGTCGTTGATTTATTGATGGTGCGCCAGAGCAGTTTTTACACTCTCAATCTCAATTTTGGTGCGAGCAAGGTGGTTCCACTCGCTCACTTTTTTTTTACGAAGAATGATTTAGAATACTTTTGTTTTGCTCGTTGAAATCTAAAAACACTTTTTGCTGTTCATGGACTTATTTTTCCAATCAATATTTATCATGTTTATTCACTAAATTATTGTCATGATCATGATGATTGTCAAATTTCTTGGCAGTAATTATTTTTTTTGGAAATGCTATTTAGTGCATTCAGATATCTTAAATAGTTTGTAATATGTAGATGTATATAAGGCTGGGATATCCCACATGCTCATCCTAGATTATTAAAGTCACAAACTTCACTGTAAACATTTGTCTGCCAAACCATCACTGGGAGCTGACATGTTTGAGATCTTACCCAAGGGAGATAAGTCAATGGAAGAGCATAAAAGATGGACTCCCTGGTTTCAGACAATTTATTGATTTTTGGACTTGCAGTACAAATACGTCTTATTTCATTTTTCAGACAAATTGATTTTACTTGTTCGAATGATTTTATGAGCCATTTTAGTACCAATTGTGTTTAGAATTTAATTAAAATCAAAATCAAAATGTGTCAATTTGGGACTAAAATCACCATTCGTCCAAGGCATAAATTAACATATAATATTCATTTGCCAAGCTTACTATTTTGTTTTGATATTAAACATACCCCATAGTTAAAACCGATATAAGTTGCAAACAAATCCGGAATGGGTCTTGCAAGATAGAAGCGAATGGAAACCACGTAAATTCATGTATGAAAAACCCCGCCTTTGTGTCCCTGCTCCTGGCAATGTGCCAAATCGTTTAAATTTTCATTTGTATTGATCATTACATAGTAAAATGGATGAGTTTCAGCTGACATTACTCTAAAAACTCAACTACCCCATTTAATATGCTTCTAGGTCATTCTTAAAAGGCATAAAAAAGTTGGATTTTTCCTTGGTTTCATTATGAATTTACAGAATTATGCAAATGAGGCTGTTACTTAAAATAGATACGATTCTGGGAAAAATTAAGTGGTCAAATTCTTTTATTTTATGTCAAGGATTAAGATGATGTATAAAAATTTGTCAAGTTGTGATTGTCGATTTGGGCGATTTTCTGAATATTGCATGGTTTTCTGGCGGATTGGCTCTTAAAAATGTGATATCAAAACAAAACA